GAACCAGCTCTGACTCAAGAATCCGCAGGGTCTGATAATCGATTACCACTTATGTGATAATCGATTGTCACACTATGCTGGATCAACTGAGGAGTTCAGCGTGACCTGATAGTCGATTATTCCGTTCTGTAAATCGATTACCAAGGCACGCTGATTCCCATTTTGACTATTTGGTTATCATCAATACGTTGGGAGTTTTCTTTTAAACGAACGTTTATGATTACATGTTAAGTATTCCATGAATATACGGAGTTTCAAAATGCTTGTATTAACGAGTTCGTAACTTGATAACACGGACTCTCGTATGTTTGATTGTTAACCTACGAACATGCATAGGTTCTACGTAGGTTGCGTACGATATTCCTATGAATATAAAGACATAAATTATAACTAAATGTTCTAGAATTAGAGGGACAACTACTCACCTCTAAATGAAGGGATTGATGGAACGAGATGAACGAATGGTGCTAACGAACGGACAAACGACGACCACGCTTTGCACGACGGCCTAGCTCTTCTTCTCCTTCAACCTTGCACCCACCGGAGCTTCACCGGAGATTCCTGAGCTGCTGTTTGCCTTGGACGAAAATGAGAGAGGGAGAGAAGATGAATGGTGATGATGGAGTTGATGATTGAATTCACAAAATGGGGGTTACAACAATAGGAGTTTTAAGGGTGGAGAGTGATGGGGTTTTATGGTGATTAAAAAGACAATTAAATAGGAAAGATGGGGGTGTTGAAGGAGCCGAACCAAGGGTCTAGGGAGGTTACAAAACTTATTTACTCCGTATTGTAAAATCTGACCTGAACGACACGCGCTTTTTCCCCCAAACGGGTCCGAATTGAAATCCGTTTGCGTTTCTGGAATCAGACAGTCAAGACGAACTTAATGATATGATCAAATAATTTTTCTAAGAACTTTTCATTTTCCCAAACCCGGTCCGGAACAGTAATTAATTAATTAAATTAATCAATTCTATTAGACCGGGTTGTAGGGCGTTACAGGTTTACCAGGGGGTTAGGGGGGTAGGAACCGTCAATTTTATGAACGGGGCACCGGAGCGCCCCCGGGTCATCTTATGACATTTCCGGGCAATGTCAATAAAACCTTGTCGTAATAATAATAATAATAATAATCAAATTAAAAATACATCGTTTTTAGAGTAGAAAATATTTGAAGAAACTGGAAAGAAACTAGAAGTTAAGAGTTTAAGTTCTAAAGAACAGATTCTTAAAGAAGAAATATAAAAACATTATTATTTTTATAATATATTCGTATATATGTTCGGTTTGGGATTTATCTGTATGTGATGTTACCGCGTACCAATCCCAAATATCGAACCGACCATTCGATTCAGTACGGTACAGTTCGATAATCTCCCTTTTTTTAAAAGAAAATTAGGGATGGATTGGGTGGGTACTAGGGGTGGACACGGTACCGGTACGGTACCATTACCGGCAACGGTACCGCCGGTACCAACGACCGTCACCGCCGACCAACACATTCCACTGGTACCAAATTTTCGGTACCGGCACCGCCGGTTCCAATACCTTTTTTTGATTGCTCCAAACATGCAACGGTCTAGTGGTGTCCACAACTGCAAAATCCTGCAAAAAATGAAAAAAAGTTAGTGGGGGTGGGGGAACCTCAACGGCTCTTTAGCCGTTTGAGGTGGAGGGTGTGGGAGGGGGGAGGGGNTTCAAAAAATAAATCACACTCAATCCATCTCTCAATCTCTCAAAATCTCAATCTATCAATCTTTCAAATCTCAATATATCAATCTCTCAATCTTATTATCTCTTTTCAATTTTTATACAATTTATATTCAAATAATAATAGAAATATATATTAATATATTACATAATAACATATAAATAGAATCATTATTCATATTATCAATTATCATATATTATTACTGATATTATAATTTCGAAATTTTCGAAATTTAATATATAATTAATTTTTTAAATATTTAATATAGTTCAAAATAGTCAAAAGAAAATAATATATAATATAATTTTTAAAAAAATATTAATATATAATAATATATAACTACATTCATTATTTATATTATCAATTATCATATATTATTATTTACTAATATTATAATTTCGAAATTTTCGAAATTCATCATATAGTTAATATTATAAATATTTTAATATAGTCCTTGTTTTTTCAAAAACATTATATATTAAAATGTCGAGAGAGTCCGCTAGAAGGTCGGTGTATATGGGCGCCGTGAACCGAAGTTCGAGGATAGACAAAGCTAAGGCCACCTCCGACGGTTCGACCTCACGCGGACGCGGTTCTCAAGGAAGACACTCCGTCTCTTCCTTCCCTAGTATCCCCGATCATCTCGTTGGCGACGCTTTGACGGATCAAGAATTCGACCATTATATGTCAGGTAGAGGCGACGCCAATCTTCAAACTCTTGAAAGTTTATTCGAGGATATTGATGAAGCAGGAATGGACGTGGAGCCTACACCGCACACTAACAATCCTACCGATGTCGACGAGGAGGAGGTGAGCCCGAGACCTCTCAAGGTCCGGACAAAGGTAAAAAAAATTAAAATTAGATTTATTTGTTTATCATTTTGAAGAAGAAATAAAAGATGACATAGTTTTTGGAACTTGTAATTATTGTGCACCGTCATTAAAATGGGAGTTTCCAGTGGTTATGGTGGTCCGGAAAAACACCTAAGGTCGAGGCATCCCGTGGAGTACGCCAAATACGCGGAGAAAAAGAAGGGATGACAAGAAGTGCAAACCCAAATTTCTCGGTTTGCTAACAGGGGTAAGGGCGGCCTTTTTGCTTATAGCGACGAGCAAAATAAGCAAAAATGGCTGAAATGATTTGTGAAGAAAATTTGCCTTACATGTTTTCTGGAAAGCTTGGATTTATTGATTATTGTCAACAGGCATTAAACCCTCAAGCAAGAGGTTTTTCAAGAAAAACAATTAAGCGCGAAATTACTCGACAGTATAAAGTTGAAAAAATCAATTTGGCAAATTTTTTTCTCAATTTTAATTCTCGTGTTACTATTTGTTCCGATATTTGGGGTGAAAAATATCATAATTTGTCTTATATGGGTGTTACTAGTCATTGGATAGATAGTGATTAGATAATGCATAAACGCGTTCTTGCATTTCGTGATTTTAATTATTCTCATACTGCTGAAAATATTTTTTATTGCTTCAGCGTATTCTGCGGGAATACAACTTAGTTGATAAAGTGTTTGCATTTGGTTTTGATAATGCTACTAATAATACTACTGCTATTCTTAGACTTAAAGAAATTTGCCCCCTACTACGAGTATGGGTAGATTTATGCATCAAAGGTGTGCTTGTCATGTTTTAAATTTATGTGTTCAACATGGATTAGAAGCTATGGGGGGGGGGGGTTTGACAAATATTAAAAATGGAATTAGAAGGAATTGGGGTAGACGTCTTCATTCGAATTCCTAGAAGACATTCTGTAAGTCTAAAGGTAGAAGAGCAATAACATTTGCTAAAGATATCAACATTAGATGGAATAGTACATGCAAGTTGATAGCACAGATTCTATGCTACAAAGAGGAACTTGCTGAATTTTTTAGGGATGAATTTCTTTTAATGATTTCACCTAATGAATTTTTTAGGGATGAACTTCTTTTAATAATGCAACTCTTACTTTTTCGCATGTTTACCAACCAACTACAAATAGATTTTTTAAAGAGTGCGTTACAATAGCAACATGTTTTCGTGAAAGTTTGGCTGATCCAGATTTGTACCCTTATGTCTCTCCTATGAAAGATAAATGGTGTGCTTATTATTTGTACATTCCTGATATTTGTAAAATAGGTATTATTTGTGATCCACGCTTTAAGATTGAAAATTATAAAATTCTAATTGACTATTATTACAGTTGTTTTTTAGATGAAAATAATTGTTACTACACCTATTTAATTGAATGCGATAAAGAAAGAGATAATTCTATTACTCTTTTTGAGACTTTATTTAACGAATTTCAAGGGATATACGGTAATGTACCGGAAGAAACAGCACCTCCTCCGCCCCCCAAATCAAATAAAGGTTTTAGAGGAATAGTCGGTGGGTTTGTTGCAAAGAAAGGGAAGCGTGCTTAGCCTTCGACGAGTTCAGGCGGTACAAGGGGTGCCATGCGATTACGACGACGACGACGACGTGGAGTTTGACGTCCTCGGATGGTGGAAGCGGAACGAACACATGTTCCCATGTCTCGGAATGCTAGCAAGACAAGTTTTATCCGTCCCGGTATCAACCGTAGCAGTGGAACAAGAATTCAGTGCTGGCGGCAACATTCTAACCGCCTTCCGAAGTTGTTTAAGCGCTGAATCTCTTAAAACACTTGTTTGCAACCGAGATTGACCCTTGGCAAGACGTCAAGCTCAAGAGTCAGGATACGATTTGAATTGCGATCATTACATGAATGCAACTACAGATGGAAGCCCGAGTTCTGAGGAATAAGTTATCAACTTTTTTTATGTTAATGTAGATATGTAATTTGTTTTTTAGGTGAGCGATATATAAGCTCCTTCGATGGTTTCTTTACGGTTCTTTACCTCGTCACTTTTTTTGAACCGTCAGGATATTAAATGTAGTTGTTCTTCCGTTTGTGTATTACTCATTTTACAATATTTAAATAACAACTACAGTTTTAGATTTTTTATTTCATTCTTTCCTTTAACAATTGCATTTTTAGATTTTTTTATTTCATTTTTTTCTTTAACAATTGCACATTTATAATTTTTATACTTTAAAAATTTAATAAAAGAGCAAATTTTTTTTTTTTGAGGGTGGCCGAAACCGGCCGGTCCGGTATCGGAACCGCCGGTCTGTGTACTGGAACCGGTACCGGCCGGTCCGGTCATACCAAGGGGTGGCTGTACCCGAACAGGCGGTTCCGGAACAGTAGGTGTCCACCCCTAGTGGGTACTTGACTACTTGTTCACCTCCGTGTCCAATTTTGCTGAAATTAGTTCGTCTCTTTGGACCCCTTGTCGCAACACGCAACTTGGAGGAGCCAGGCTCTCTCCACCAAGCTCCAGTCCAGCGCCGCTCCGCAGCGCCCTTCCTCTTTGCCCGCTCTCCTCCCCGCAGTCTGCCACAGCGTATCTCCTCCGGTCTCCCAGCGACCTGCAGACAGCAGGCTCCGGCAACATCTAAGCCTTTAGCCCAAGGTTCACAATGTCCCTCTCACTCTTTTTTTTTTTTAAATTTAAAAATGCTTTTCTCTTCTCAGTAATAGTAAGAAGCAAATGCTCATTTTCCTTACTTAGCTTATTTTAGATCTATTTAAGTGTGAGGTCATGTAATTTATTTAATGAATATATTATTGTAGTGTATCAATTTATTTTTGTTTATTAACTACAATTTATTAGTTTGAATTGTTTAAAATTCTGGATGCTAATATTTCAAAAGGCATGGTGTGAATGATCACACAACATTTTTTTAAATGACACCATGCTACCACTTCACCAAAATATGTATATAACTTCAGTAATTCGCTTTGCAGTTCCTAGCCTATGTATGCTTTTGGATGTATATAAGTGATGGGTTTTGTGGGAAAATGGAGCCGTGTACATCAACATGGGAAACACATAACAAGTTCTTACTACCATAAATGGTCTCTTTCTCCAACATCATTATCTCTACCAGTTCTTGAGAGGTACAAGTTTCAAGGTACTTTGATCCAAAGGCATCTGCTACATACTTTCAAGCTACCTAGCAACGGTCATGGAAAGAAAGATATAAGGTTGATTAGATGGTCAGATATATGTTTAGGTTGTAGCCAGTTGAGGTTTTATAGCTCTGAAGGTGATGGGAGAAATGCACGTGAGGATCAATGCCCCAATACTATAAACGAGGGTAGCATGAAAGAAAGAGTTGGTGAACATGTGAGATATTGTGATGCACATGTTGAACTTGGTGAGCTAGAGCAAAAGGAATGGCTAAACAATGAAAAGCTATCAATTGAGAATAAGAAGAAAGAGTCACCTTTTCTTTCTAGAAGAGAAAGATTTAAAAATGAGTTTTTAAGGCGGATTGTCCCATGGGAGAGTATAGCTATATCATGGGACACATTTCCTTATTATGTCCCGTAAGTGCTTTTCATCTTAATTACTTCATATTCCTTTTTCTAACCTCAGTTCACTATCACTAATCCACATGAATAATAATTTACTGTACCAGAGAACATTGTAAGAGCCTCCTGATGGAATGTGCTGCCTCACATCTAAAGCACAACAAGCTTTCTTTGGATTACGGTTGCCATTTAAATGCATCCAGTGGGAGAATTATGCTTCACACGGTTCCTGGTTGAGTTCTATATACTCCTTTTTAGACCGTCATCATTGAATTTGACTTCTATTTTTCATTTTTAAATTCTCCTTGTTCATGCCTTATTTTCTTCGTTTTCTGGAAGTCCTTACTCATATGCCTGGGTTTTAGTCATGATTTGTTTGTTGATGATAATGGCAGGTGCTGAACTTTACCGAGAAAGAATAGTTCGAGCAGTTGCAAAGGATTTGAAAGTTCCACTGTTAGTTCTTGATAACAGCATTCTAGCTTCCTATGTAAGTGATAGTGCCACCTCTTCACGTACTGGAGTACTTATTGGCTTTTCGTTGATGCTAAACAACTATCAGAAAGTGTCACAAGCCTTTCCTTATGCCCATAATCTGCACCTGTTTTCAGGATTTCACTGAAGATTGCTCTACTGAAAGTGAGTCTGATGATGATGCAGAATCTGCTGAAGAGTATACTTCAGAGTCTGAAGCTGATGATGTTACTGATGCAGCTAATGAGGAATGGGAAAGCAATGGGGATAAGTCTGAAGCCACGGATGATGAGGGGGATGCCCACACATCTGATGAAGTACTAAAGAAACTTGTTCCACACAATCCTGAAAGCTTTGAGAAGGTAAACTTATTAAATTGGAGGAATGATAGAATTTAAGAATCAAATTTAGTCATCAGATGGGGCTAACGAAGTCCATGAATTTTTACTGGTTGTCTTGGAGAGGTAAACCCTCTTACAAGGAGAGTGTATTCTTAAAGGACAGAGACATAAAACTAACTCGAGGTAGATGGAAAGCTACGCTGATTTTGGACAGTTGGGGATTTATATGCACACGGTGATTGATAAAAAGGTGGAAGATGAAAATATGTGTGAATGACCTCAGTGGCGTATCTCTTAGCATATGCATGTTGAGTATCCCATATTGTTCGTGTGCTTAGTTGAGTCTTGCATGGTGGTTTATGTGGATGTCCACTCAATGGTTTATGGTGTTTTAGGTGAGGTAGGGTCTAACGAAAACTACAACTACAGATTTAGTATATTTATGAGTGTTTTGATTAATGGGGATAAATCTATGTTGATATATAACAAATATGACACTAATAAATCACGTTAGGGCTTTTATCCATTTTTACACTTGAACAATCACATTTAATGAATAAAAGTAGTCTCCTAAACCCTAATACACTCTAAGTTGCCATACAACAAGAAGAAAAAAGTGTAAAAAAGAAGAGATTTGCCAAACAAAGAGATAACATTAGGAAATGAATAGCAAAATCAGTTTGCAACATCCAAATTACTCATAGGGTAAATGAGTGGAAATCTTGTAAACAAAGATTCTACATGCGTACAACATATATACACTAACAGAACTAATAAAATCAATTATCATATATGGAAAAAATTTCCACCAATGTTACGTATGTATAGTACTCTAGGATAATAAGGATATGTAGCTCTTTCCCTTTAAACTTAAGAAATCAACAAAGAATTAAGAAATGCCATCCAAGTCTTCCAATTGATACCCTATCAATCCTTTAATGCGTGCGGATTGACCTCACTAGTAGAAAATCAGCATGTGATGCAGGTAGTTACATATATGTCCTTTTTACTCTTTGAAGGTAGACTTTAACGGATGCAGAGTTTCAGATATTTATGTGTGTGTAGAAGTATTTATTGTTGCTAACTTATGTGGTTAGGCTATACAATACTATCAAATCAGTTCTATATTTAGCTTCATATAAACTAGTTATTTCAGCAAGTATCGGGGGAAAGTGAAGATTCCTTTGAGTCCACATCATCCGAAGCTTCTAATCTCTCGGAAGATGCGAAACAACCATTTAAAAAAGGTATTTATTATTATTGCTATTATTGTGTGGCATCTTTTTAACATTTTTTGTTCTTTAATCTTTAGAGTATTTTTGATGAAATGGTTTTTTAATTGATAATGAACGTAAGGGGTACCACTATAATAAGAAAGTATGGTATTCCTAAGAAGTCTGGGAAGAGAGCTACAAAAAGTGGTAAAAAATTACTCCATCTGTCCCGTAAGAGAGTTACCAAAGAGAAAATCACGGAGCTTAAGGAAGAGAATAGTGACCCTTGATATGATCCAAAAGTATAAGGGAATAGTGATTGGAAAGTGGTGGGGTGGGTTGAAAAATGATAAAAAGTAAGAAGGAAAAAAGGGACCCTTTAAATTTGGGGGTAGCGTAGTGGTTTGATGTGATATAAAGTGAAAGGTGAAAACAAAGCGTAATCTTTATAATGAGACAAAAAAAAGACATTTGTAAACTTTCAAATGGGACAGAGGCAGTACATCGTTTCCTGAATGAGCTGATTGGTGGGTTACTTGAATTCCGTTTCTAAATAGTCCCTCCATCTTTAAAAAATTTGCTTTTACTATTGACAATTTAAATTATATCTTCTTTCTTTACATATTTTCACCAATCACTTGTTATAGTAAAATATCCATCGCCACTTGTTCTATGGAACTTTTGATCTAATTTTTAAATATATAAGCTTTATTTTTAAATGTACACCAACATCAAATAAGGTGAATTCAGAATTATTTTAGTCAAACATCGTTAACTGTAAAGATAGATATGTTGGGCATGCTACCCGGGCCTGTATGGGATGGGCTCAAAGCCTAGGAACTGTGCGGTGACCCATAGTTGCAAGGCCCCAAGCCTTAATGGCTTTACATGCCCAAGCTCAGCGTCGCCTATGCCCCAAGGACTAGAGGGGCCACGTGTGATGCCACCTAGGTTTGTTCTAGATTGTAGTAGGAGTTAGAAGGTAGAAGTCCTTACACTCTGACCTAAGGCCATATCATCCTAAGGGCATCACTAATGGGGAGGAAAGAGGGGGGGGGGGATGGGACGATGTGGAGGGGGAAAGAGAAGAAGAATGATTTGAAAGAAGAGGAGAATAGAGGAGAGCGAAGGTCATGCTGGAATAATATTCCCCTAAAGAGAAAATATATCTTTGGTCCATTTCTTTTTTTTATATTTTAAATTTATTTTTGCACCAATGGGAAGATGACATGCATGAAAAGATAATTGAGAAAATAGAGGAATGATTAAAGTAGGGTGAGAAAAATTAAAGGGGAAAGTGACATGACAAGTAGATGATGTGGGAGGGAAATAAAGAGGAATGAATTGTTGGGGTATCTATGAATACTAAATAGCAAACCACAACCAAACAAGAACACACACAAAACAGAAATCAAAACGGAGAAAACGGAACACAAGATTTATAGTGGTTCGGTCGGCTGACCTAATCCACTTTGCAACTAGGGTTTTTATTATCCAGGTGCTCACAGAATTACAAGTACAGAGATCCCTATTTATGAAGACTAAACTGGGGTTGAAAACTTAATCCCCAAGTTAGGCCCAAGCCCACATAGAGAATTAGGGCCGGCTAAATTAAAAACCTAATTTACTGCCATATGGGTCGAACCAAGACTAGGGCCGGCTGCCCTTCCTGGTCGAGCCTCCACACTCAATTCGCCCAACAATCTCCCACTTGGAGGCTCGAACAACGCCCCTTAGTCTTCATCATCTGTAACTTTTGTAATCCTCATTTTCCACTAGTTGCAGCGGCCTTCTCTTCAGTTATCTGAAGGCCTGTTGAAGCTCCCTCCCACTGAGCTTCAACTCATCAGTCACAACCCGTGACTCGTTCTCTTTCTCTGCTAGCTCCGAGTGTGACTGTCACTCTCCTGGCTTCTAAGACAAACTGAGAACCTACATTCTCCAAACCAAGCAAATTGTTAACAGGAGAAACATTCAACGCCGGAATACTAGTTTTCCTAACCCACTGTCGGATTGGGACTGAAGCACGACCTGTGCTCCCACTGTCACAAAATTCCCTGACTGGTTGAACCTTCCGAGCTAGTTCATTCTGAATCTGTACTCTTTCTCTGAGTTTCTCCTTTGCAAAGGTAACCCTCTTTAGCACACAAGCTTCTTTGAACCGGACCTTTTCTTTTACAAAAACTGGACTTGCTCCTTCAGGAGGTATCTCGACCATATATAACGAGCCCCTTTTCTTGCCACGAGCAACAACAAGATTTCCTTTGACCACCTTCCACTGTCCACCACCAAATTTAACATCAAGACCCGAATCATCCAACTGCCCAACTGAGATAAGCATCCTCTTCAAGCTTGGAATGACTCTGACGTTTTTCAAAGTCCAAGTGGCTCCAACTGAAGTTTTCAAGTCAATATCCCCCATGCCCGTAACATCCAGAATTTCATCGTTACCAAGTCGTACATTACCAAAGTCTCCAATCTTCAGATTGTTCATCATCTTCATGCTGTGTGTGGCATGAACAGATGTACCA